GGGGAAAGAAACACTTTGGAGAGCAGCTCTTTTTTATTGGCTCGTGGGTGCTGGAACTAGAGAGAAATGATAGATTCTTGAAAGACTTTTTTCTAACAAGTCTCTTCTTCGAGATAAGATGACTTTTCTAGCCCGGCTGTGGGCAAAGGCACATGAGTATTTGGGAATATTTTTTTGGCTAGTTCTCAAAGAGATTGAGGTATGATTCTACATTGATCTTCTTTCTTGTCAATTTATTACCTTTTCCAATTCCTCAGTTCTTAGAAGATCTTTTATTCTTAATATATGAAAGCAAACATTTCAACCACTTGATAATAAATCATGAAACTTACAAGAGAGTTGCTCGCAGATATTATATCAAAGATATATGCAATTATCTAGAACGTTTAAAAAAAGATAACAGAGTTGACATGACCAGTACAGAAACAAATTAACCGATATGCATTTATGCATGTTATGCATGTGTGCATGTGCACGTGTTTGAATGCATTATGTGTTGGATATAGTGGAGCTAGTCCCATGGTTTGAATCCCATCCACTCGTATGAATGGCCAAGAGATGACAATTCAGCCAATAGCCACCTAAAATTACTTAATACTTGAATCACTAGAAGAGGATAATCACTAATGCTTTTCCACTGTTCTTATCTTCCAAGTTCCTTTTCCCCCTAAACCCACCATTTAAATTTTGTTATCCCATGAATCAAGAAAGGAAAATATGTCAAACAAACGACAACATTAGTATATGATCTTGGCCTGGAGGCATTCTAACCTGTACAGTCTTAGAAGGAATCTGGTTTCTTCCACATTGATGGTCAGAGTACAAGGAGAGATCACTATCCAAAGTGTTGTGAAACACACAAGCATCTCGTTGCACATCAAGAGCCTTTTCAACTAAATGTTCTAACCTTTTTTCAGGAATCATGACTGAAGCAGGAAGCAATTTTTGCAGTTTGTCAAGAATTTTTGACCTTGACTTTGCACCCTCAGTATCTTGACCAGAACTTGCAAGCATTAAACACAGTGAAGGTGAGATAAGGCAGGATGCAAGCTCATGAACACGTTTCATATTGACATGAAGAGGCACAATCTCATTTCTTAAAGTATCTAAAGCAGCAGTCAGCTTTTCCATTTTCAGAAGCTCAAAGAACTTCTGCTCTAGTAATAAGAAAGACGCGGATTTCACAATTGTTTCATCAGAAAGATCAATCATGTGCAATGTAGCAACACTTTCATCCCATTTTCCATCCATCACTAGCTGCATAAACAAAGTAACCACTGATGAATGCAACGGTATCCCTGATTCTTCCTCCAGAAGAGCCCCACTTTTATCATAACCAAGTGAGTACAGCGCCCTAGTTATAATCTTGATGAATTCTGATTTTTTAATTACACCTTTCGAACCAATTGTTTCTTCATCCCCTTGGGAGGTCAAAGGCCTAGCCATCAAGTCTCCCAAAGAGCAATTTGCAGATTCTATAAGAGAAGAATTTTCTGAGAAGCTGTTTGACTCTCCTACAAGCCCTTTCACTCGTTTCAAGGGTGGCTCACTATCCTCTACAACTCCCATGAAACTCCCAACTCAGCCCATATATATCCTACACGTCAAAAAGGAGCAAGTGAGAGTAGAGAAATATTTGACCTATTCAGCATTGTAAGGGCAAAAATGCAGCAGTTTATGATAATGTATAAGATAAAATTAAGTTTTTACAAACAACACACTATTGCAGACAGAAAAACACACTATTGCAGACAGAAAATAAATCCTTAACAAGAATAAAAAGGCCAAAGTTTGTTTTCCATATTATTATATATTCAATAAGCATAGAAACTTATATCATATAATAATTTAAAAAAATTGCCGATAAACAACATAGAAGAAGACCATTTTCAAGCACAATTTCTTTCCGTCTAAGGTAGAAAGGACTTGAAGCAAAGCATCCACCCCTTTTATAGGAGACTGATGCAGTTGGATAATTAACCAGATTTAAGGGACTTACTGACCACAACTGGAATTGCATTAGCACAATAATGTTTTGTACTTGTAAAAAACACAATTGCTCAGAGACTGATTTTTCCAGGAACAAAATGTTTCTGCTGATAACTAGATTGGATGACACTGGTAATCCTAGATATTTGAAGGCTAACTACCAAAATAGCTCCATAGGTAAAGTATAAAGTGAATGAAACTTCCATAAAAATAACAATATAAATCCTGTAGGAGAGGAATCATGACATAAATTGGAGGATGACAGCAATGGCGCTAACTCTGATATGCAAAATGGCCCATTGAGCCTTTTAGACATAACATGCCCAGTTGGAAAATAAAGCCACCATGACAAAGGTAGTTCATGATGTTTACAATAAGTAACTCAAGAAGAAGAAATGTTAAGCAACAGACTTCTTTTGATTTGATTTCCTCTTCCTGGCAGGAAATAAAATTTAATTTAAATAGTTTTTACAATTATGAAACAACTGTACTAGACTGAAAACATTTCAAAATCGGAATAATAATTAAGGAAAAATAAAAGCACCTTATGATTCTGTTTTAAGAGAAACTACAAACTTCCAGAAAACTAAGGATAGAACAATCAAACAAAAAGCGATTACGAAGATAGTACGCAACTAACTAAAACTCCTTCCGAATTTTCTGCATGACTCATGAAAATGAACAAAGTTCCGGTTGATCCTCCAAGGAGAAATGAAAAAAAAAAAAAAGAAAAACAGATAAAGAAACTATCAGACGAGAAAATAAAATTACTGAAAAACTACTCCATCCAATTCTGCAAAGGAAACGCGTATGGAGGAGGAGAAAAAAGCAAGAAACAAGAAAACCCCCATCACCACGCAAACTATATATATTGTATAAGGAAAGAACGAGAAATTACGAAATAATTATTAATAATTTTCAAAGATTTGCTTTCCACTAATCTGGCTTGTGGATAGTTGCCCTAATCCATCCTCCCTTCTCCATCCGCAGCTCTAGCGGATCAGCGAGGATCGGCAGAAAATTCGTGGAACATCTATCTTAAATCCGCTTATTGATCCACTCTATCATCTGCTCACCTATATGATCAATTTTGCAGGAAAAAGAGCAGGCAAAATCCAAAATTTCCGAGAGGAATAGAGTAAGATAAGAAGTAATTTCAATCTGGGATGGATTTGATACAACTGCAACCTCAATCTCACGAACGATTAAGCAAGACCCATATATCAAAACTTGCAGTAAACCCAAAGAGAAGGAAAGTCATCAGGTAAACCCCAAGCAGCAGACGGATCGACTACACACAGAAAGAGGGGAACAAGTCAAGCAAGGAGAACCGACTGGCACCAAAAACCGAGCAGGAAAAAAAGCAAAAGACGAAAAGAGACAAGAAGCTAACAAAAAACCTTCAGAAACAGCAGGAGAAGGAAAGCATCCTAGCGTATACTCCGGTTCAATCAAAACTGATGATGATGATGATTATGATATTAGAAGAAAGAGATTCCAACAGTAGGTAAAGATGAGAAAGGGAGGATACCAATTTTTAGTGTGAATTCATGAAAGAGGAGAGGGAGAGAGCTTATGCGCGAGAAAGAGGAGATTGCTGGTTCCAGGTCAGTTTATATTCTTCAATAGTGAAAAGACAATTTTATCCTCAACCGGTCTCACCGTCTATCTCCTCCTCATCCTCTCGCCGCCGCCAAATTCGTCCTTTTCTTACACCAGCCTCCACACACTCCAAACTCGTAAGCACCAAGCCACTGCCAGCCGTCAAGAGACACCATTTTTAAAGAGAGACCTAGCCAAGGGTCGGGGTTTCCCCGGGTTTTGGTCCGACCCGAATCTGATTTCAGATTTTAAGTTCTAATTTTTATATACGAATAAAGGCACTAGAATTATATAAAAATAGTCTCTTTAGCTAAAGGATTTACTTTCTGATTATAACTTTTAAGAATTCAACTAAATAGAATATTTAAAAAATTAATATAATCAAATAACAATCTCACAATTAAAAAAGTTTTAAAAAAATTATAAAATATATTGTATATCACTAAATTGACAATTGTATTTTTTAATAGATATAGTAATTTTAATTCATAAATCAAAATTAATTATTTACTCCATTAAGAGTGGTCTACGTCCGTGCCTCATTTTGTATTATGCGTATCACTCCTAGGCATGTCTATGACAAAGAAAAAAGAGGTAATTATATTAAAGTTAAAAAAAATATTGTCAATGATAAGCAGTGTCGTCTCACCTCTCTTCAAAACATATTGCTAATTAGTTTGTAGATTCAACCAGCATCTTTTATATATAACACCAACCCCCTTGGATCAAGAAACTAGTTTTGAAACTTCTTATGTTTTTCACTCATCGGATGCCCCAAGGTATCATTATAAACCACTTTTTTTACAACTTTTTTATGTGATTCAAGTTCTTATTTAATTATCCATAAAATGTTAATAAAATGATTATCTAGAAATTTCGTTTGCAAATGACTAATTTTTCATACAAAAACCCCACAAAATAATTGAAAACAAGTTGATGTGAAAGCGAAGATGAACAATACAATCCAAAACTCATAAAATACTCAAATAGTATCAAAACTTAAATCTTAGATAAACTATCCTTACTTAAACCACTATCAATAGACGATAGGAATTAAGATAATTGAAAAAATTAAAGGACGTCATATGATTACTTTAATAAGTTGACCCAATTACTTGTCCAACAAGAAGGATAAGGAATACCTCAGTCATTGAAAAATAAAATTTTTGATTTTATTGTTTGAACTTGAATGAGTATAACCATGAATTGAACACCTATTTATAGCGTTGGTCA